ATCCCCCTGCTTCTCCTGTAATTTCTCTGGCTTTCGATGTCCATCAGCCTGGTACGTCTGTGTCTAGACATTTCTTCAGGGTACCTTTCTGCGTGTCGACCCCCTTGTACTTCCATATCATGTCCTGCCCTGAATCTACCATTTTTATTCCCAAGGCACTGGCTCCTGATGCCCCCAAATGTCCTGTGCCCATGCTGCTGAACCTCCAGTGTCCACTCCCGCAGTCCCTATCTGACGCAGTCCCAGGCCATGACGGCAGACACACTTATCCCTCATTCTCTCATCTATCCGCCCCCTCCCCCAATCCTAGGGTGTGGGCTAGAGGGGGCAGACTCACGCCTGGATGTGCCAGGGCTGGGGTGGTGGGAGCGGTGAGGGTGGGGCTGTATTTGGAGCAGACTGTTGAGGAATGTGGCCCACCCTCCTGCCTGTCCCTGCTTGGCAAGATCCAGCCTTCCTCACTGTGCTGTCCAGGCTGGTCTCCAACTCCTGGGCTCAAGCAGTCTTTCTGCCTTGCTCTCCCAAAGTGCTGGGAGTACAGGCGTGAGCCACCGCCCCCAGCCGCCCTCAATCTCAGTCTCTGTGTTTCTGTGTTCATCTCTCTGTCCCTTTCTCTCTCTCTCTTTTCTGTCAGTCTGGGCCTCTGTTCGTGTCTGTTTTCCGTCTCTCTCTTCAGTATGTCTGTGTCTTCCTCTCCCCGTATCTCTCCCAGACTGTGCTTCCCTTTGTCTCTCCTGTGGGTCTTCCTACCTGTCAGCCTTTCTGGAACCTGTTGACTGGCAAGGGTTGTAGGGCACAGTCCTTGCTCAGAGCTGCTGACTGCTCTGACAGTGGGGGCACAGTGGGGCGCAGTAAGCCGCATCCTCCTCCGGCCCTACCCTACCCCTTTCTGACAGGCTCGCCAATGGATCCTCTTTATTACCGCCTCTGGCTTTCTCCCCAACTCCTGACTCTTCTGTTTTGCTCCAGTAGGCTGTCCTCTGGAATGCTGGCTTTTCTAGGGCAGGGATTTTGTCTTGTTCACTTCTGTATCCCGGCATTTAAAATAGTGCTTAGCACAGCAGTAGGCACTTAGTAAATATTTGTTGAATGAATGCACATTTTTCTTCCTCCCTATTTCTCTTTATTTTTGAGACAGCGTCTCGCTCTGTCAGGCTGCAATGCAGTGGTGTGATCTTGGCTCACTGCAACGTCTGCCTCCTGTGTTCAAGCGATTCTCCTGTCTCAGCCTCCCGAGTAGCTGGGACTACAGGTTCGTGCCACCACACCTAGCTAATTTTTTGTATCCTTTTTTTTTTTTTTTTTTTTTGAGATAGAGTCTCACTCTGTCACCAGGCACCAGGCTGGAGTGCAGTGGCACAATCTTGGCTCACTGCAACCTCCGCCTCCCGGGTTCAGGCAATTCTCCTGCCTCAGCCTCCTGAGTAACTGGGACTACAGGTGCACGCCACCACGCCCAGCTAATTTTTGTATTTTTAGTAGAGATGGGGTTTCACCATGTTGGTCAGGATGGTCTTGATCTCTTGACCTGTTGATTCGCCTGCCTCAGCCTCCCAAAGTGCTGGGATTACAGGCGTGAACCACCGCGCCTGGCCCATCTCTATTTTTTATAGAGACAGGGTCTTGCTATGTTGGCCAGGTTGGTTTCAACTCTTGGTCTCAAGCAATCCTCCCTCTTCAGCCTCCTAAATTGCTAGGATGAGCCACCGTGTTCCACCTCTTTCTTCTCTTCCCTCCCCCCCCCCACCTTCCCTTTCTTCTCTTCCCTTCCTTTCTGTCCGTCTTGTTCTATTGCCCAGGCTGGAGTGCAGTGGCCCCGTCACAGCTCACTGCAGCCTCGACCTCCTGGGATCAAGTGATCTTCCCACCTGAGCCTCCCAAATAGCTGGGACTAGAGGTGCACAGTGCCACGCCTGGCTAATTTTTTAAATATTCCTGAAGACCAAGTCTCAATATGTTGCCCAGGCTGGTCTTGAACTCCTGGGCTCAAGTGATGCTCCCGCCTCAGTGTTTCTCTTTCTAATTAGACTGGATTTCTCTGTTTCTTCCTGTCTTTCTTCTCCCTTTTTCTTTTTCTCTCAGGTCGCTCTATCTCTCATTTCCGTTCTCTTTATTTCTCTCTGTTTTTGGGTCTCCTGCCTTTCCTCTCTCCGGACGTCTCTGTCTCTCCCTTTTCTCAGTGACTCTCTTTCCAGTCTTTGTTTTCCAGTCTCTCTGCCATCCCTGTGTATCTCTCTGTCTCTTCCTCTTTCTCTCCATCTCTCTTCGGGGTCTCTATGTGTTTTTCTCCATCATCTCTCACTACTCGTCTTTCTCAGGACCTCTGAGTCTCTCCATCTCTCTCTCTCTCCCCACCTCTGTGTTCATGGCTGGGCCCTGGGGCAGACTCTGGTCAGCCTGTGATGGGAAGAGCGTGGGGATCAAAGAGCTGACACCTTAATCCGCATGTGGGGACCGCCTATAAGCCTCACTCCAGCCAACCCCATGCTTAGCAGAGCAGGTCCCAGTTTCTGCATCGCCTTGGGGAGACCCCGTTCAGGGTAGGACCACTCAGGCCACTTCCACTCTGCCGGAATCCGGCTCGGTGTGCTTTGGGACGCCAGCCCGGCGAGAACAGCCACCACTGTCAGCAGGATGTTAGGGTATTAGGTCTGGTGGGTTGGGAGGCTACATGCCTGGGGTTGCTGTCCCTACCCCAAAGGGGGAGAATTTAGCTGGGTGTGATGGTGCATACCTGTAATTCCAGCTTGGCGGGACCCTGAGGCAGGAGAATCACTTGAACCCAGGAGGTGGAGGTTGCAGTGAGCTGAAATTGAGCCACTGCACTCCAGCCTGGGTGACAGAGAGAGACTCTGTCTCAAAAATAAAAAGAAAAATGAGCCAGGTGTGGGCATAGTGCAGCCTGTAGTCCCAGCTACTCAGGAGGCTGAGGTGGATCACTTGAGCCTAGGAGGTTGAACCTTCAGTGAGCTGTAATTATGCCATTGCATCCCAGCCTGAGAGACAGAGTGAGACCACGTCTCCAAAAAAAAAAAAAAAAAGGAGAAAAAAAAGGGGGTTAGGGGGAAGGAAAAAAAAGAATAAAAGAAGTGCAGTGTCTGTAGCCCCAGAGTCTGAATTTAGATCCCTGCTCCGCCTGTTGCTGTGTGATCTTGGGCGGCTCATTTCACCTGTCTGAGCCTTAGTTTGCTCATCTGTAAAAATGTGGTAATAATACTGCTTTGTGGCCAGGTGTGGTGGCTCATGCGTGTAATCCCAGTGCTTTGGGAGCATGAGGTGGGAAGATGGCCTGAAGCCAGGAGTTCAAGAGCAGCCTAGCCAAAACAAAAAAAATCTATAAAAAAAAAAAAAAAAAAAAAATTAGCCAGGCACGGTGCCTGTAGTCCCAGCTACTTGGTGGGCAGAAGCAGGAGAATCACTTGAACCCAGAAGTTCAAGGTTGTAGTGAGACTTGAATTGTGCCACTGCACGCCAGCCTAGGCAATAGAGGGAGACCCTGTCTATAAAAGAAACAAACAGGAGCCCCCAAACCAAAGCAAAAAACACGGCTTTGCCTCATAGGGAGACTTAAATGAGGCATTCAGAACAGTGTGCAAATAGGGAGTGCCATGTAAGCATCAGTATTTGTTCCTCCTTAGCCTCTCACTTTTCCGTTTGTCTCTCTACAGTGCCCTGCATCTCTTGCGTATGTGGTCTGTTTGATATCTCTCTGCTGTCTTTTTAATTTATTATTTTTATTTTAAAAATTATTTTTTTTAAATTTTATTTTATTTTTATTTTTTTGAGACAGAGTTTCACTCTTGTTACCCAGGCTGGAT